AAACAATGAAGAATACTGCGTTTGGGTTGGCTCTAGGTGACAATTTTCCTCCTCCCTTGTATTCATAGGCAGAGGTTGTCCTTGCTCTTATTCTTTTGGTGACATAGACTCATTCTTCTTTGCTTAGATATTTTTTGGGGGTGGGGGTGGGGAAGGAAAGAACCAAGTAACAATTGCTGCCAAAATGGCATTGCCTTGACCTGGATGCACGCCCGGAGGGTTTCTGGAAGCTGCTGCAGCAGGAGCTGAGCATCCTCAGGCCTGTGGCAGGGCCAGCAGGTGTTAACAGCTCTGGTCAGGGCCCATCCACTGGGGCAGGTCAGGCAGGCAGCTTCCTGTGGATCTCAAGTATGGAAAACACTGGGAGGCAAAGTTTGAATGTCTTCTTGTTGATTTTACTCAAACTCACACAACTCTTTCCAACCCTATCAGTGCTGTTCAAGATAGTGTGACACTTCACTTTGCAGAGAGAACAAAGGAAAACCAATATATATCTTAGACACATATTTACTTCGGTTGAAGTACTTTCCACCCCAGGTGTTCTAATTTGGAACACAGCATAGAGCTGCTCTTTTTCCATTTTATATGGTAGCTCAGATACCCTGTTTCTCTCCAGGGCACTTGGCGCAGGGCCGTCTGGGTCTTATTTTCAATAAAGCCTTTATGTATTCACTCTTTCCATCCAGAAAACACAATTTAAAAATACTGACCATAATGTTGGGACAAAGTGCAGATTTGTTGCTTGTCTAAGAAAGTCCATGAGACTTGGTGGGTCCAGCCGGGCAGTGAATCGTTGGCAGAGTTCCAATCCGAGCTGTGGTTGCTTTACGAAACATGAAGTTTATGGCAATGCTTTTTCATCAGGTTCTTATTTGGCTTGCACTCGCTTGTGCACTTTTGAAAATTTTATTTTAGACTTAAAATTTTAAGTTAGTTCCAAAATTTCTTGAGGAAAAAATATTATTTTTTAAAAATCATTACTTTTTGGAGATGAGGGTAAAACTTGTTTCTGGAAAGTTTATTTACCAGTTGATATAGTCCACAAGCTCAACTCTGAAGCCCTGAATACAAGTATCTTCAGATACTTGAAGAAATTATTTTATTATTATCTGAAAGCTCTGAGTGTGGTGAATTAGAGAAATTATCTTTCTTTGATTAATTCAAATCTGGATACTGTCACCATGCAAAAACGAATTTTGTCTAAATTGTGAAAAAATCAGTGTCTTGGGGGTAATGTTCACTTGATAGGAAAAGCCATGAATATTACTAATCAAGCATTGGCTTGGAATAGCTTTAATGTAAAGAATAATATCGGAATAATAACTATAATGAAATTAGTATGGAGCCAAGAAGATATTACCTTTTTAAAAAAAACTAACTTTACTCTTTGGAACTGCAAGTTGAATTTTCAAAAAAAATAAAGAAAATAGACAAAAATGATACCATACATTGTAAGCCATAGAACGTAGTGTTGTTTATTATTATAACTTTTACATTGATAACTATACTAACTGTCAGGCAATACTCCTCTAGCCTTCGCGGAGAAATCTCACTTACGGTGGAGTGTGGGAGGCAGTGCAATGACTTCAGGGAACAGCCTCTGTGGCCCAGGTCCCTTCGGCCTGTTCTTCTCTTGCCAACCAGGCAAAGATGCATGTGAATCCTCAGCTGGCCTGTGGGTGAACTGGGGGAGCCTGGTGCCATTAAGGCTTAACCCTCTGAGGCTTGGGGACCATCTTCCACCTTGGTTCTTGGTCCTTTCCAGGCCCAGAGCTCCAGGACACGGTGAAAAGACAGCAGGGAGTGTGCGGAAGGGGTGATTATACCGCTCGTTTAATTTTGCAGCCCCTATGCCCAGGGAGCCAAGGCAGCAAGTGACAAGTAAGCCGTCCGAGTGGAAGAAAGGAGGAGGGGGTTCTGCCACGGCCCTTGGAGAGCCTGGATCGGATTTCTTAGGAGACTGAGCAAAGGGCGCTTGATACCTGACATCTTCAACACTAGAGGCAGGTGCACGGCGCTGCTCAGGGCTTCTGTTTGCCTTACATCTGGGCTTAGAGGTGAGGACCAGGCCTCGCCTTCTACAGCTCCTGGAACACCAGCCAACCCTCTTGCCCTGCTTTCCTTGAAGTTCTCCTACAGGTCTTCCCTGGATATTTCCTCGGTTGGTGGGGCAACTTCTCCCTCTGGTCATTTTCTTTCTCTTAGCTCTACTATTTCATCTCTTCCTCGAAGGTCAGCCTATTTCAGATGCAGTCAGATTAAGGTGGAATAGCATGTGCTGGAACAAAGGGCCCCATTCATCTTGGCCTCTTTCCAGAAAGGGCATCTCAGAGACCCACCATAATTCTCTGAGCACTGCCTGCGACTGATCTCTGGCTTCGAAGATAAAATCCCGAACAGCGCCTCTGCGGCATCACTGGCTCCGTGGCTGGGGAAGCAATCGCGGGTGGTTGTTAAAGGATGTTGAGGGCTATCACCTCTCTCTGGTCTGGAGAGAAGATTGGAGGGGCAGGAGTCAGAAGGCCCCATCCGTGATAAAACCTCAGTCTCAGAGAAACCTCGCTGGCCACTCATAGCTCTGGCTGTGCTCAGTGTCAGCAACCAGCTCAGGAATGCGGTGTGTGAGAGACATTCTCTTTGCAGGGTCTAGAACGGGACAGTAAAGCAACAGGCGAGGCCACCCTCTCTGGCTTGAGTGTGGGTGGCAATTCCAGGCTGGACACTGCCAATATCCCCCCAGTGGCCATCAGTGAAATGGGGGGCTATGGGCAGCTAAACGGCCTGTGAATTCCCAGGATCCATATACAGGACGCAGGCATCATTTTTGGCCATATGCACAACCATGTTTTATGTCCTTTTCTCAGTTTATTAAATCACTTTCTATATCTTTTTTTGAAAGTTCTAGCAAGCTGGCAGAGTTAGATAGAGACCAGGTGAGGGGGAAGTTCAGTGGACTGGCCCCAGACTATTCCATATCGCAGGGCTGCTGCGAGGGGGGAGGGGCAACTGGAGAAAGCACCATGGCAACACTTGTGGTGTGGAGACCTTATGTGAGGGGACAGCTGGCAGAATTATGTTCATCCAATCTAGACTTGATAAAACCCTTCTCTCTTAATTAGCTGCAATAATTCTTTCTGAAGTCTTCAGAAAAGGAACAGACCACCTCTAACTTAGTATACGTAGCATTTTCATCTCTACGTTTCCAAGGATGGGAATGTCTTGTTTGAACCTTTACTTTGGCGCAGAGATGAGGGGGGAGAAAGCATCCAACCCGAGCATTTGAGCAGTCAGTAGAATGACAATAATCGTGGTTTTCCTCCAGGGTTTCTTGTGACATCGCAAGATCTATAACCATCATAATGAGCTGCCTTTCTTTAGCTTCTGCTCTATT